CAGCCGTAAGGACCGCATACTTGTCGTACGATGGTTCTAGTTACCACAATACGTTCATCGATGATTTTGGGAGGCACGTAGTCATGTATTTGGCGAAAGGGTGGCTACAGGATAACCTAGAATTCGCAAGTTTGCAGTGGCAACCGATGAGACAATGTCTAAAAACCCGCATGTGCTGCTGATACGCTTCATACAATACTTGTGTTGGACGTGCGTTAAAGTGATGACACCAAATGCCTTGTCACGATATTGCAAAACAAGTTCTATCTTTCTAGTTGACTGGTATAACTGTCTAAATCTGAATGTAACTCCGCTATCAGTGCATTAATTCCGAGATGATACAGTGAAAAAGTAGCCCTGGCCAAAAGCTATCTTAATGGTCAAGCTTGAGTGTTATGATGATTCCTCCACAACTAGTCAAGTCGAACTCTTGAGTCATTGGCTCCAGGCAGGTTCCTCCAAGAAAACCGTATCAACCGCTGCCACGCGGGTCAAAGGCTACGGTCGGCTACCGCGACAAATCCCTACATACACCCGTTGCCATGTCATCTGATTTTTATGTTGGAGGCTTAAGGTGGGATGCCTCTAACTAACCCTCTTCTTCGACCTGGACAACCGAGAAATATCACTTGCTCCTGCAGCTCTTCTTTCACCGTCCGTTATATCTGCTGATTCGCCAATCCCTGGTATCTGCTACTAACCCGCTCCAGTGTCTTGTGACGGAAAAAAGACTCACAGAAGGGAACACAACAGCCATATTCCGAACAAGCGAGTGCGAGAGCGTGAGTGCGTGCGAGTGCCAAAGTACAACGGTCTCAAGCTATTTATTGGAAGGGTACTGTCTGAACTTGGTCCAATGCTGACGCACACGGTCTGATTTTGGTACGAGGCTGCGACGTGCTGCATAGTGCGGGAGAGTTGTCTGTCTGGTCAACATCCAGCAGCGCTGAGAGTTTCGGTAGATTTTGGGCACCCAGTGGTTGCTTTCAGGAAGCTGACCTTTGTGATACCGCCTTTCATCCATAACCCCTCCCCGTCCAACCTCCGACACCAATGGCGCCAGTGTGACCAATTTGTCTGTCAAGGGCAGATTATCCACTGCGACAGTGCGATCTATAAGGTTAGAAACGTGACCCCTATATGCTGTTAATTGCAATTATCCAGCGATGGATGAGCCACCCACACTTTCTAGGTTACACTGGCTAAGAAATGTACTTTGCTATCAGAAGACCGCCTACCTTGCGGAGCTCTTTTCGCCTAGCCCTACATTGGATGGAAGCGACGTAGAGTTGAACAGTTTATGACCTAGCAGCGAAGTGTGAAAGTGCTAACCAGTAAATTCATTTGGGTTAAAAACTGCGGCTTTTCTGGTTGGGGACTTCAGAACTGTTATATCTGCTGATTGGTCAATCTGTGGTATCTGCTGCTGACCCGCTCCAGTGCCTAGTGTCGAAGAGAAAAGACTCACAGAAGGGAACACAACAGC